ACGACTGAGATTTAGCAACAGTGTGTACAGCACATGCACGCATACATACATGCCCCCCACAACCTGAAACAGCTCAATGAGGACTAAGCATGCTCAGTGGGCATGTAATGCTGACTGACTGTGGGGAGAGAAGCAGAAAATTAGTTGGCAGATGGACTGGACTGGCTGGGACCTTGACTAGAAGCACCCTGCACTGCAACATTTTGTTGCAGAGTCCCAATAATATATATTAACAGCAAACTCAATTATCGGAGTGCCATTCCTTATGTAACCAAAACTGAACCATACACACACAAGAAGGAGGTATCATCAGCCTTGAAGGGACCCCAGGGATTTAAAGAAGAAGAAGTATTTTTAGAAACACAAGACAGGCAACTTCTGCAAATGCATGCCTAGCAATGCTGTCTGACTGGGGAGCAGGGTTAAAACTGGGTGGGAGGGCACTTGAATGAACTATCCTGAACAGGAACATTTCACGGTGCAACATTTTGTTACAACAGTGCTTGCCTTTACATAATAAATCTTCAAGTTGAATTTGGTTAACTGCGGTAAGGAGTCTGAAAAGCCTCTTCTTGAGTCAATTTACCTGAAATTAAAAGCCCTGATAAAAAGTTGCAAGAATACTCCTCTAAACATGCAATGGAAGGTCAAGGAGAAGAAACCCAAAGAAAACAATTGCAACCCAAAGAAAACAATAAATCATAAAAGTGTAAATTTGTATTAAGTTATTTTGAGAAATTGCTCCAAAATGTTGGCTGGTGTTCTGGATTAGCTGATCCAGAATAAAATAAAAAAATAATCAACACAATTCAAAACTTGGAGGTGGTGGTGGTATTAGAATTCATACCCTAAGCATTTTTTTAAAAATTATGCTTTTGGTTTTTAAAAACAATCCAAAGTCTCCTGGATTAACTTTACAGCTGCAACCTTAAGTTACAATTTACTAAACTGTGTGCGCATTTTTCTTTCTCCCAAATCCTACCATTTCATCTCTGGTTGAGCATTAGAGCACCTGTTCCACATGTGAAAATTCCAGGTCTAGTCCCCAGCATCTCTAGTTTATAAAGGATTAGCTAGCAGTGCCTGAAACCCTGGAGTGCTTCTGCCAGTCAAGTCACAAGCAATAGTGGGGTAGGTGGCCAAATCTCACCTGTAATAAGGCAGCTTCCTACATTCTTTAAGGGAAAGTATCTGACAGTTGGCCTCCCCACTGCCTTAGGGGCCTTCCTCTTAGCTTCCCTGCCTTCTTAAAGCAATGACTACAAAGAGAGCCTTTTTAGTGGTGGCAACGAATGAAAAACTGGCCACAAAGCATGTAGAAACAGCTCAACCACACCTCCTTTCCTGCTGTGCTGTTTTGTTTTGTTTTAAACTGTGAGGAGTTTTCAATCCAGGGGAGCCTTCAAACAAGGTGGTTCTAGTAGTGCAATCCTTTCCATGCCCCAGCCCTGCTGCCTGTGCAGGCACCACGCACAACCGAGGGGGACCCACCCTCTATCGACCTGGTGAGGGGTTGCTGTCACAGGGACGGCGTGCGTTCCAGCGAAAGCATGCAGGCAGCAGAGGCGGGAGGGACTCCCCTTTGCAACATTCTGCCTGCCTCCCTGACTTGCGGAGAGGGTGGAAAGGGTTTTCCATTCCCAATTAGGCTTCTTGGCCGCCTGTCATCCCGTGACTCCAAAGTCTCCATCTGCTCAATTATGAATACCAGAAGAGAAGAAAACAAACATTTAATGTCTAATCTAATCAGCCCTCCTCTCGCTAATTAACACCCTCCGAGTGCACACACAGGCTTCCGGAGGTATTGGTGGGGCTGGTAATGACCCCCAACCTGTGCGCACATATGCTGTAGGGTGAGATGGGGAGGGGAAAGTCCCCCGTTGCTCCACACTACTGCAAAGGCCAAAAGAGCGAGGAGACATCATTATCTGCTCTCTTTCTTTTCCCTGTACTTTCCTGGATTCTCTCTCTCACTCTCTCTCTGGACTTCTGTTTTCCTCCCTTCACACTAAGACAGTAGAATCAGTGGGGTGGGTGGGGGGACAAAGTCTCTTCTTGGAAAGCACCCACCCCCACTAGCAAAGGGGAGAGGGGCCCTGGCACTAATCTGAAGCTGAAACACAGGCTAATGTGGGCCTCCTGAGCGTTCCTGTGCCATAATGGAGGGTTTTGTTCAGGACGCTAATTAGGGGTCTTCAAAGGCGGCATTCTGCAGTGTGCTTTCTTAAAGGGAGGTCTGAGGAAAGACAAGAGAGGGGGTGTTCTTTGCTCAATGGAAGAGTTTTGGCGCTTATCACCACCAGGGCTGTAAAAGGTTCTTTCTTCCTCCTCCTCATTCCCTCCTCCTCTGTCCCCCCACCCCACCCTGCAGGTTTCCCATGGCAACTCCAGCATGGTATCAAGCAAGTCACAGGCATCTGGCGGTGCTACAGCACCACACACACACACACACACACACACACACACACCTCCCTTCAACAGTCCAGAGAGCGTGCCAGGGATAGGCAATATCTGCATCTCATATTGGGGAGGGAATGGACAGGGCTTCTTGATGATTCTAGGAGAAGGATGAAGGGTAATAGGAGACAGGGAAGCAGAGGCAAAAAGGCAGGTGCAGGGGAAGGCATGGGGATTATTGAGGAGCTAAAGGAGAATAGTTGGAGTCTCCGTGCCTTAGCACACCTTTCTGCTTGCTTCTTGCTTCTGCTGCATCCTGGAGAGAATTAAGGTGGTTACCCATCCTGTTTTATAGAGGACATCCTTTGATTCAAAGGTCTGTCCTTTATTTTAATGTATTTTTAATCCTTTGTTGGAAGCTGCCCAGAGTGGCAGGGGAAACCCAGCCAGATGGTTGGGGTAGAAATAAATTATTATTATTATTATTATTATTATTATTATTATTATTATTATTATTATTATTTTTAGGAGTCCTCCATTTAAAAGGCTGTCAAGTCCAAGGTTCCTTCTGCACTATATATTTAAAGAAGTATCATACCACTCTAAACAGGCATAGCGCCCACCAAGAATTCTGGGAACTGCGGCTTGTTAAGGGTGCCAAGAGTTGGCAAGAGACCCCTATTCCCACTCACAGAATGACAGTTCCCAGAGTGCTTTAACAATAAGCCTGTCTTCCCGGGGAGCTATTTCACTTCCAACAAGCTGCCTTGGGGTAAGTGGTCCACTTTGGCTCCAGGGATATCAATATCGCAAGGAAGCCGGTGCTGCTGTTGCTTAAAAGCCCCATCTGCAGCTGCAGTCCTAACCATGTCTTCTCACATGAATTCAATAGAGCTGACTCCCAGGTAAGTGGGGTTAGGACTGCAGTCTAAATCTCAAACTGTGTGACTATCCATAATGCACAAGGTATTGCCCCCCACCTGGTGGATAAATAGTACAGTGGTACCTGGGGTTAAGAACTTAATTCGTTCTGGAGGTCCGTTCTTAACCTGAAACTGTTCTTAACCTGAAGCACCACTTTAGCTAATAGGGCCTCCCATTGCCACTGTGCCACTGGAGCACGATTTCTGTTCTTATCCTGAAGCAAAGTTCTTAATCCGAGGTACTATTTCTGGGTTAGCAGAGTCTGTAACCTGAAGCGTATGTAACCCGAGATCCCACTGTATACAAGTGTGTCCTCCTGCTTATGAACAAGCCTTTCTACAGAGACCAACAAATAAAACAAAAAATATCAACAGTACAGACAGAAGGTTCTTGCCAACATTTCCCACAGGACCTTTCACTACCCTGATGTTTCTCCAGGGCACAAGGCCTTGCATTCAGAGCACTCATTTGGAAGAAGAACACTGTGTACGGAGCATGCCGGGGTGTGATTAGGCCTCTTTCAGCCCCCAAGCCCAGGGAACTTGGTCACGTCTTTCCATGCTAAGAGATCAAATGATAAAAACCTCTGATCAAAAGCTAGGCACGAGGATCTGTCAATGAGAGCTAATGAACTGGCAATATGGCCTGAGGAACAATGACTGCTTCCAGCCCACACAGTCACCACCACCAAGAAGACCAGCAAGGGGGAAAGCAGCTTGGCCTAATCTGGGTTTGAATGTTTGTTTTAACACTCACCTCTTCAGCCTGACATTCACAAACTGATTTCACTTTGATTTTCCTTCATGTATCTGGGCTGCAGGCTTGAGGACAGCCCTTCATATTTATTTCAGCACCAAATTACTGCAAGCACTTTAGAAATTATAAACAACAGTGAGAAGTTAAACAGTAAGGTACTCCTGAGGTAAATCTGTTACCAAGAGTAAAAGGTAATTGCTTCTTAATAACTTGCTCTGGAAACTATCAAAAGATATATGGTGCAGGTAAAAAAAAAATTAAACAAACATTTGGAAAGAAGTTCCTTGACCACGGTAAATCAGCAGCTGAAAAAGAACCAAGAAATGTCCTGCCATTATGTATTGCTGCTTTGTGCTCAAGATCTTAAGACAGAGGTGAGGAACCTATGGCACGGGGGCCATATAGAGCCCTCCAGGTCTCTCTCAGTGGCTCTTGAGGCCCCAGGCCACACACCCTCACAGAAGCCACAGCACCAAGTGCTTTTGCCTGGCTGGAATATGTCCTTGAACTGGAGTAATGACTCTTGCTTACCTGAAAGGAGAAAGGAGGTGTGTATGTGTAGAAACCTCTGCCTTTTGGACGGTTGGAATGAAACCTACTATACAAAGGTTAAGAGACACATCTACTGCTCTGCCCATTTTTGCACCTGGCCAAACCCACCAGGATCGCCAGAAGGTTGTCCATATGGGAATATATCTCACAGGCTAAAAATGGTTCCCCAACTTTGCCTTAAGACGTGGGAGGAGGCCTATTCCCTTAGCTTAGCCTTCACTAATTTTCACAGCTTCCCACAAAGAGCTCATCTTGATAGACACCACCCATATATGTGCATATATTTGGCCATCAGAAGGAATCACAGAATTGAAGAATTGGAAGGACCACAAGAGTTATCTAGTTCAACCCGCTGCAATGCCAGGATCTTTTGCCCAATGAGGGGCTCGAACCCACAACTCTAAGATTAAGAAGCTCATGCTCTACTGACTGAGCCACCTCTGGAGAAGCTTAGGATCCTGCCAATATGGCTATGTTTCATATTAAGGATAATACTTTGTGTTTCCGGAGCATGAAGATTTCTAGAGCATTTGAGAAGGACGCTGAATTTCACGAAACAACTCAAAACAATCCTACTGCTACTGTGATGGATCTGGAGAGAAAGAGGAAAACAAGCAAAGAGAGAAGTGGATGATGAAACCTTCTCTGCAACTGATATCTCTCCAAATAACCATCTGCCCTGCTCTTCACAGAAGCTTGTTTGAGGTTATGGTCTCACACGGTGGCCCTTTGTACAAACGTGATCTAAAGAGTTTCTCAGAGACAGAGGCAAGAGGGATCACATGCTACTCTTGAAGCTCCTTGGTTGGATCACACAGAAACATTTTGACACAGGGGGAAAGTAGCAAATGTGAAACAGCACACCCTCGGGGATGATTTTTCAGTAGTGTGAGATGTCTGTGAACCTTCTGGGATTTGCAGACATTTTCTCAGATATACATGTACACATATGGGCAAATAATGGGTACAAGGAAGGGCTCAGGCATGGGGTGGGAGAGAGGTATGGCTACCCCATGGTTCCCAGCAGAAGGCTCATCTATTCTGCTGCAGAAAAGCCAGGGCTGCAAAGTTGTTAAGTGACTTAACAAGGTGCCCCATGATATTCTTGTAAAGAAGCTGGTAAAATGCGGTCTTGCCTATGCTACCACTCAGTGGATTTGTAACTGGCTGACTGACCGAACCCAAAGGGTGCTCATCAATGGTTCCTCTTCATTCTGGAGAAGAGTGACTAGTGGGGTGCCACAGGGTTCTGTCTTGGGCCCGGTCTTATTCAGCATCTTTATCAACGACTTGGATGATGGACTCAAGGGCATCCTGATCAAATTTGCAGATGACACCAAACTGGGAGGGGTGGCTAACACCCCAGAGGACAGGATCACACTTCAAAATGACCTTGACAGATTAGAGAACTGGGCCAAAACAAACAAGATGAATTTTAACAGGGAGAAATGTAAAGTATTGCACTTGGGCAAAAAAATGAGAGGCACAAATACAAGATGGGGACACCTGGCTTGAGAGCAGTACATGTGAAAAGGATCTAGGAGTCTTGGTTGACCACAAACTTGACATGAGCCAACAGTGTGACATGGCAGCTAAAAAAGCCAATGCAATTCTGGGCTGCATCAATAGGAGTATAGCATCTAGATCAAGGGAAGTAATAGTGCCACTGTATTCTGCTCTGGTCAGACCTCACCTGGAGTACTGTGTCCAGTTCTGGGCACCACAGTTCAAGAAGGACACTGACAAACTGGAACGTGTCCAGAGGAGGGCAACCAAAATGGTCAAAGGCCTGGAAACGATGCCTTATGAGGAACGGCTAAGGGAGCTGGGCATGTTTAGCCTGGAGAAGAGGAGGTTAAGGGGAGATATGATAGCCATGTTCAAATATATAAAAGGATGTCACATAGAGGAGGGAGAAAGGTTGTTTTCTGCTGCTCCAGAGAAGCGGACACGGAGCAATGGATCCAAACTACAAGAAAGAAGATTCCACCTAAACATTAGGAAGAACTTCCTGACAGTAAGAGCTGTTCGACAGTGGAATTTGCTGCCAAGGAGTGTGGTGGAGTCTCCTTCTTTGGAGGTCTTTAAGCAGAGGCTTGACAACCATATGTCAGGAGTGCTCTGATGGTGTTTCCTGCTTGGCAGGGGGTTGGACTCGATGGCCCTTGTGGTCTCTTCCAACTCTATGATTCTATGATTCTATGATTCTATGATTCTATGACTTTCAGGAAGGAATATATGTGTGTCCTTTGATGTAGAGTGTGCCTTTTCAGAAAGGGATGAGATCCTTGTTGTGTGGGCCCTGGTAAAATATTGATGGGAGCCTAGTACCAGGTCACTCACATGAACAAATTCAAGTTGCAAATAATCCTGTGCTACAGAAGTTACTGAGCAGCTGCAGGAGGGCAGAACAACTGATGTGCATCCTAGACCACAAAAAGAAGAAACAGCAACACAGAAAAACAGTGAATTAGGGGGAACGAACCAAAAGAGGTGAGGAGAGAGATTTCACACAGAAAGAATGAGGAGAATCGAAAGAGCCGTGAGGCTCAGGATGAGAAAAAGATGAAAGTAATGTGAACTAGCAGAATAAAGTAATGAGACAAGAGACAGAGCAAACAGCTGAAGTTTATTTTCACAAGGCGCAGCTCTCATGGTGTCTGCCTCACGAACAAAGCATACCTCTGCATTCAATGAAACACATATATCTTATCTCCCAAGGCATCAACCCATTTCTCACCCTATTGCGAGTGCTACATCCTGTAATGGAAGCTTAGGCCAGCGTGTGGCTTTCCAATTTCTTACTTTACTAGGGGCTGCCACCCCTGCCCGCATTGCTCACCAACTATGCCTTCCTGCCAACCCCCCCCCGTCCTCTTGTCAACCCCCTCCTCTTTATACCTTACTCAACGCTCCCATCCTCCATAGCTTCTTCAACAACCCCCATCACCCCCAATCTCCCCATCCCTGCCTATCTACCACTCCCACTCCATTGCCAGCCCCCAATCCCAAGATCCCCCTGTTACTGCCACCAGGCGCAGGGGAGAGGGAAATGAAGAGGAGCAGTCAGTGGGGTGGCAGCGATAGAGGGAGAACAGAAGGGCTAGTAAGAAAGTGCACCTGCCACTGCCTGGCTGCGGATCTGCTGGCCTTCAGTTACTTCCTGCTTGCCCCTGAAGATGCTCACCTGCTGGGGCAGCTCCTGCACAAGCATCCTGTTTTGTTGCCCATTATTTCTTCCTCCACCTCAAATGCTGCTGAACTATGGTCAGTGTCAGGTACGCAGCAACAGCAGCAGCAGCAGAGCAGGGCAATGGCCTCTCCAGGCTCTTCCTCCGTGGCTCATCTCTATCACCTGCCTTGGGGTTCTCTGTCGAGCCTCCAGGCCTCTCTTCAGCTGTCAGGTTCAACCTCTTCCTCTACCTCTAGTGTGCGGAACCTTTGGCCTTCCAGCTGAACTACAACTCCCATCAGCCCCAGCAAGCACAGTCAGTGCCCAGGGAAGATGGAAGTTGTGGCTCAGTAACATCCAGAAGGCCAAAAGCACCTGCTCTACCTGGACTGGAGAATCATTGAAGAAGTGCATTGGCTCCTCAGCCACCCACTCCAAGTCAAGGACCGTATACTGCCTGAGCATATTACATTTTAATTTTGCGAACATGCCCAAATCTTGGGAAGGGATATAAGTATTGTAAATAAGCATGCTTATTTAAGTCCTTAATTCTAGGTGAATCCCACAGAATATTCCACAGCTGAATCATCAGAAGGGGGGGTTGGATCGTTCCAGCTCCTGGACTGGCCCGAAAACGGAGATTGTCTGTTCTGGCTCTAGCACACGCTGGGTTGCAAGATGAGGCTGTTTAATCCCTTACATGGCTACAAGCTTGCTACTGCCACTGGCATCCTCCTCAATTTCCATTTTAATATCCCAAAATTAAATTCTTCAGATTTATTAAACAACTGCCATACTATCTTCACACTGAATCTCTCGGCTAATGAATCTGAGCTAGTCAGGGAGGCCGCTGCAGAGAAATCCCCTTATATTACCATGCTAGGATTATTTTAGCAGCCTCCCTCCCTCCCTCTCTGTGTATGTGTGTCAATGGCAGTGCCCAGGATTTTGTTCCTACCTGGGTGTTGCAACCTCCCCTTGGAGGAAAAAGCAGGCTTCCCGACAATTTCCTACATCTCTGCCACCCCGCCACCCCCTCTTCCACGCTCTCCCACTTTCTCACACTATTGGAACATAGGAAGCTTCCTTATATTGAGTCAGAGCCACTGGTAGATTTAGCTCAGCACTGTCCACACTGACAGGCAGCAGCTCTCCAGCGTTTCAGGTGGGGAATCCTTCCCTACCTGCAGATGCTGCAACCTTCTGCATTCAAGGCATATGATCTACCATTGAGCTGCAGCTGCCATTTCCCTCTAGAGCAGCCTGCCTTCCTCAACCTGGGGCCCTTTTAGACAACCACCCCCATCAATCCCAGCCAGCAAGGAGGAATGCAAAAGCACTCTTCACCAAAGAAAATCTCCCATTGCTTCAGCTCTCAATACCATTATATTTACCCAGCCTTTGAGTGATTGTTGTAGACGGCAGCCATCTGGGACCGGGGTCCCTGGAGAGCTTCCTTTTAACTGCCATTGACTGGTTGAGAGACCTTAAGCAAGCCACTTCAGTCTTCTTGCCCATTTTCTGTGAAACAGACATGCTTCGCCACTTCTTGGAGCCCTTGCGAGACCCCGGTGAAATCTGGGTAGCAAAAGCTACCGAATTAAAAGAGTTGAAAGGGCAACCTCACTGCACAATGCCTCACCACTGAGAGCAAAGTGAAAACTACATGCTGCAATACTAATCATGAAAGTCAGCCAGGGTTCAAGCTTCGTCCCAATTTGGAACACTACTTGCACAATTATAATTTCAACTTTGAATATGAAACTTTACCTCCACAATTTTATGCATCTGTTTATTTTACCTACATCCCTCCTGTCCTCCATGGAGTTCTTGGGGGCACACATGGTTCTCCCCGCTTCTCCATTTTATCATCACAGCAGCCCATTGAGGTAGGTTAGGGTGAGAGGCTGTGATCAGCCTAAGGTCAGCCAGTGAGTTTCATGGCAGCTGAACCATGATTTCCCAGTTCATAGTCTAACTAAGGGTGGTCAAACTTCTCAAACCAAGTGGGCCACAAGAGGATTTCAACACGGAATCTGTGAGCCACACACTGCCTTGTCACATGGGGTGGTGGGGAACGAGGTCAAAATCTGAAGGCTCCCCGCAGCCCTAGCACTGCCTTACCGAAGCCTCCTACCTCCTTCCCAAAGTTCTAACTATGCTTTGGGAAGGAGGCAGAAGGACTCTAGGACCCTGTCAGAGCCTCGTGCCTCCTTCCCAAAGCCCAGCACCTCACTCCAGCTTTGGGGGCTGGAGGCGGCCAAACATTGCCGAGGGC